GCCATCCTTTCTCACTGCCCCTCCGCTCTACCCCAGCTAGAAAGCACTCTTCTGGCTGCCGCCCTGCGAGTGCAGGAGCGCGGTTACAGAACAGGCGGTGTTTCTTCCATCTGTAATCTGCAGAGGACGCGGAGAAAACCGCCTGGCGCTTCTTAAAAGAGATTTTCTTTTGTGGCAGGGAACCTAAAAGGATTACTTGTCAAGACCTGGCTCCATCAATTACATTTGAAGAAAATCTATTTAGAGAAAACGACTTTATGGAAAAGAAGAGTGGGGGGGTGGGGGGGATGACTTTGGTACACGTGAAATTCCTTGACCTATGATGTAATACCCTCTAAGGAGACTGAGCTAGCCATTCCTCAATGGCAATGAAATCACCTTATTGAGTGTACAGGTAAGTAATAGCTCCAGATTGATTGACTGCAATGCAGAATACCCACAAGTCATAAACACCAACAGAAACCCGAGAAAGCCAATTCTGCGGTTATTGTTGTCTACCTGTCAGAGGCCACGGCTGTATTTACACGCTCCCTATCTCAGAATCTCAGCTGCGCTAGGCTGTCCTTTACAAATGCACTTTCCAGTGGGCAGGGCTGTGGCGTGTCTGTCCAAGTGCCCTACTTGGGTCCAACGTGAGCCACATACATCAACCTCCCTGGACTAAAAAACACAGCAGCCATGTGAACCGCTCTGATTGAGCACATAAACTTTAGTTACAAGGGAACGTAGCTGGCATTCACTTGTTCAACACTGGCCAACTAGTATGCAGAGATGATGGGTTAAAAAGGAAAAGGCAAAGAAGAGGGGGAAAACCACATGCACACACAATGAAAACTCCATTTGTAAACATGAAAGAAACCAGGAAACATGGGGTGAGATTAATTCTTTGAAACTTTGGAAGGAAGAGTTTCTAGTCTCTAGTATTTTTTTTTTAAAAAAAGGGAAGAAGATGGATCAGAAGATGGATTTAGAAGCCTAAAAATGATCCAATGATTCAGAACAAGAAATAGACCACCCCAAAGGAAAGCATTCTTATAAATACATTCTGAAAATGGGAAATAAAAAGACATACCAACAACTACATCAGTATCACAATCATGTTCCCAGCATATAAAACCAATTCCTACCATTAGGAACTTTATGATCTGGCTTGAAGTGGGGGCAAGAGTAGATGTATGTTTGTTCAAAAACTAATTATTCAAACCAGTTGAGTAGATTCAGACTCACGTGTGTTCAAACCCACTGACCACTCAATGGGAGAAAAAAGTGGCAGTCGGCTTCCATCAAGAGTTACAGCCTAGGAAGCCCTGTGGCGACAGGTCCATTCTGTCTTTCAGGGTTGCTATGAGTCAGTGGTTCTCAACCTTCCTCATGCCA